AGGTGGGGCTGGTCAAACTCGTACCTTGTGGTTTAGCTTTAGAAGGAATCTCATCAACATGCCCAGAAGAGTTACCTTTTTGATATGAACACTTTTTCGAGATTTACAAAAGCAGGATGCCAACATCTCTAAGTGTGACCAGAAGTTGGTTTGCTGGCCATTCTTTCTTACTCAGTGAGAGGTTTTCTTGCCCACAGAAACCAAAGCAGCTCTTTGGAGACACTCCTAGCCTCTTCTTTACTGCAAACATACCAGCTGTCCTCTGCAAGAAAGCAGAGCTAGAACCAACTCTGGGTAAGTGAGTCACTTAATTCTTTCCAAAAGGTAGTTTAGCATCTCTTTTCCTGGAGGAAGAGGAATAGTTTCTGTTTCTGCCTAACTCTCGCTGGGGGAAGAACAAAGAATAGGACTTCAGCTCAAAAAGCATATTCTATTGTTCCAGAAACCTGGGCCAACACACCTCACAAGCGCCCTGCTTCACCCTCACAGAGTAACACTCAGGTCACTTTCTGTCCTACACCTCCTCACATTTTCGGTCGCTATTTCTCCCTGTGCCAGATCCCTGGATCGAGGGAAGAAGTCACGTGGCAGGGACAAAGGCAGGGCTCTGCCATCTGACTACACATCACCACTATTATAAATCTTCCTAAAAAAGGAAGCTTGTCCTCTGGTTTCCTATTTACTGCTCTTTAGAGAGTAAGTGCTGCTGAATCATAAAAACCTGTAGTACTTTGCTTCCCGTTTCCCTGCTATGTTTACAATCTTACTGAGAAATGACTGACTTCACAGCTTTTGCCATTTAGTAACTCTTAAACATGGACTTAATATGAAATCCTTAAAATGAGCTGAGTAGACAGCAAATACTCAAAAGTCCAAATTACCTAGACTGGTAGAGGTTAATGTTCTGCATTAAATAGGAACAGAAGGTATCAATTTTGTACTCTGATTGTGCCTACCCAAGAAGTGAGTCAAATAAGCATATGAAATATGATAAATGAGGGCAACCGGGGCAGGAAAACCACCAGAGTTGTGGAGAAAGGTCTAAGAAGTGAGCAAATGTAGGTGTGTCCTATTCCTTTCACCTCCTTGCACTTCTGTCTAGACCTTCAACTCTCCTTTTCCAGCGTAGAGCTGACAGAGAAACAGCCCTTTAATATTTCAATCTATTTTTAATTTTTATAGCCACATAACCACTAAGCACTGTGGTACTGAGCGAATACATGGCAGTAACCCAAGTATCTGGGATTACTAAAAAATGATTACAAGAAAACAGTTCAGTACCAGTTTAAGATTTTCATTAACTTTGTATTTTTACAATGTTGGTTTACTCTGAAAAAGTCCACCATATACTTGTGACGCTTAGAACTCAACTACCTTCTCATTCTATAGGTAAGAGAACAGATCTAGAATATTGCTATTAAAGTTAAAAGAAGAGTCTAGTTAGTCACAGAAATGGGACCAGATACCACCCTAAGACTTTCTATTTCACAACCCTCAGAGAAAGAACTTGAAATACCAGGTTTCATTTACCCGGAGCATTTATATACCCCAGAGGTGAAATCCACTACTTCAAGCAGAAAGACGATCCATCTTATGCCGTGGCCTCTGCTGTGAAGTGATCCCTCCGTGTGCTAAGCTGCTCCAGCCGTGTCCGACTCTCTGCGACCCCGTGGACTGTAGCCCACCAGGCTCCTCTGTCCATGGGATTCTCCAGGCAAGAATACTGGAGTGGGCTGCCATACCCTCCTCCAGGGGATCTTCCCGACCCAGGGGTTGAACCCCAGCCTCTTGCGTCTTCTGCTTTGGCAGGCGCGTTCTTTTCCACTAGCGCCACCTGGGAAGTAATTCCTATGTGAGTCCAATAAAGATGCTAGAAAAGGCTCCCTGTGAGGCAAAGAAATTTTCAGTGCTACAATCAGGTATTTTTCTATTTAGAGTCATAAATTATGGGCAAGTGGAATTCAACTAAGGCATACATTATGTGCAGGGTCCTAATACAGTGTTACTGCTCATAGCATGAATATTATTTATAGATTTTATCTTTTTCATTACACACATTATACGGAAGTTAAACTCAATCTTGGTTCACAACGATTCTGAAATAAGACAGGGTAGGAAAAGCCTGAGGGCCAAAACACAAGAGGAATTATAGCTATTTAGCTATTTACAAAGGCTTAAAATACAGGTTTAAACACGCTAACAAGAGGCCACTAATCACAACAAGTAAATTGAAGACATGCATGTTTCCCAAAAGTCTTAACTCATACCATTGTTAAACTGTTAAAATCACAGCATTCTTTTTCACTCTTAGGGACCTTAACTTACCCCTTCTGTGAAACAGAAATGGTAGATTTTCATATCATGTCTGAAGATAGGTGGCATTATGCCAAATTAGTGGCGACCTGCTGGAAAAGCTCTTTATAAAGAACGTAGTAAAGTAACAGTCAACGGCATCGGTAACTTCATACAAAAATATAAAATCAAATGAAAGTAAGGACTCAAACAGATGTCTGTACATCAGTGTTCTCAAGCACACTGCTTACAACAGCCAGAAGGTAGAAATATCCAAATGTCCACTGACGAATGGATAACAAAATGTGATATACACATACAATGGAATATTATTCAGCCTTAAAAAGGAATGGAACTCTGATATATGATACAGCATGGATGAGCCTTGAAAACACTATATCAAGCAAAATAAGTCAGACAAAAAAGAACAGCTATTATATGATTCCACTTCTGTGAGAGACCTAGAAAATAAGATTCATACAGAAAGTAGAACAGTGAGATGGAGGGAGGAGGAATGGAAAGTTCTTGTTTAATGGGTGAAGAGTTTCAGTTTTAAAGATTTAAAAGGTCTGAAACGCAGTGGTAATGGTTGGGAAAAGTGAATATACTGGATGGCACTGAATTGTATACTTAAAAGCAGTTAAAATGGTAAATTTTGTTATGTAATTTTGATACAATAAAAAACTAACTGAGAAAAGATAAATTTTAAAAATCAAATGAGAAATAGTAAGTGCTAAGTTCTTTGATTTTGATATTTCTAATACATGTCATCAAGTAAAAACAGACTTGGGTTCACCACCTCAAAGCCATTTACCCTGTGTGTTTATTACTCCATAATTCATGTCCACCATGATTATGAATGATGTGTTTGCATTAAGTACAAGTTCCAAACACAGAGAGAAATAGAGAAACTGAAGCAACGGATTTATGTCAACACAATTCCATCTGTTAACACTGTCCTTTGAACCCAGGGACGAAAGTCACACGGTAGGGCTGGGAGCTTCACCTTAGCTGTGAAGTCCTCTTTCATGTCATAGGGCACTTCTGGAAGGAAGCTCTGTAATGACCAACTCTAACTACTTGCAGATTTCCTACTAGCCCTACACAGGAAGTCACTCTTGTGTCTCACCTGCATGAGTTCCTGTTTTGAGGCCTGGGGGCTGGTGAGTTGAAATCCAGCTCCAGGGAGTGATGTCATCTCAACTGAGCTATGATCCTGGTGACCTGGCCCCCATCCCGGTGTTGCTGCAGCCCTTCAGCTGGGGTTCAGGTTATAAGGGGACCAAAAAGGAAAGTGGGGGAGTAGGATAACAGAACAAGGAAAAATGCTCGCACATTTCCTTCGTTCCACTCAGGTATTTTCTGCTTCCATTTAATGTGATGGGCGGACCTGGCCAATGGCAGCTGGAAGCTGCACAGAGGCTCTTGGGGTGGGGATAGGCTCTGTCACAGATCTTGAAAATACAAAGAATTAAAACATACAAAAAACTTTCATTGTGTTTGTGGCACCATATGGAAATGATGACTTATTCTTTCATCTTTGGATCAAGTTTTAAAAAAAACAGGCATTAACTTAAAAAGTTTGTATTCTGTTGTAAACACAGTATGACTACAGGAGCTATCTTAGCAACAGAAAGAAATAACACAAATGTATAAATACTCATGTTCTTTCGACACAATGTCAAGTAGATGAGGAGGTCAAATCTAGAAATCCTGTCAATACGTAATAAAACAGGATTGCCATTCAATCCCACTGAGATGAGATCCTTTGGTTCTTAGGATACTTAGCCAAAAAACTAAAACGAAGTCAAACACAGTAAGAGGCAGAAATTGCTAACCTTTCAAAATGAAAAGAAGAGAGGTCTTTGAATAGAAAAAAAAATTGTAAGCAATTAACAGAAAGAGAGACTTCAGTTTTTAGCTCATTTATTTTACATCATGATTCTTTAGTTCTTATTAAGTTGATACAATTTGGGGATATAAATACTCCCTTCCCTTTTTGGCTGCCTATGTATTAGTAGGGGTAGGAAGAACAGAATATGCAAAGGGTGTAGCAAGTGGAAAGATAAAGAGAGAGAGAGCTGAGAGCTCATAGGAACCCTACTGTTAGCAATACTAACCAAGAAAGTATACAGTTGACAACAGGAAGTGTTTTTTCCTTATGTGGACTTCAGAAAGAATGAATATGGGACCACATTTGATATACATTAATTATATAGCATTGTGGTTGAGGTTTCCTATCAGACATGATGTGTATATTCTTTCTCATTTTTTAAGCTTCATAGATGCCATTACTTGTGAAGCACTTTTAGTATATATATCTTGGTTAGCGAAAAGCACAGTCAGCTGCCATGTAAAGGTCATCCTTTCAAGTAACACTTCATTCTACACTTGGAGCTTCATCTCAGAGGAAGTTCTCGAAGGGCATTCCTCTTTTAGTTGGGTTTACAACTGACCTGCACCACTAAATGCAGATAAAATAAAGATCACACCTTGGTTTATATATAACAGCTCCCTGCAAAGGCATCTTGTCCAGACAGTAACTGTAAAGGAGTGGTTCTCTCCCAGGCCTTTTCTCTCCATTTCCTCTAAAGCTCTTAATCCCAATGCTTGATGTCCGGTAAGTGAGTGTGAGGCGAGCTGCCTCCGTGCTAGAGATGCCTGTCGCAGAGAAGGCCAGAATGTGTGCAGAGAACCCTGCACTCTGTTCATCTCATCAGTTCTGCCCAATCCACAGGGGTAAAAAATGGATGAGATTTGATATCTTCAACACCAGCAACTCCAGCACCAAGCCGCTCCACAGGGTTGAACTGTAAGAGCTAAAAAGGAAGGATTTAAGTGAGTAGTGGGACTCCAACTAAAGAATCAAAGGAAAATAAAGACATAATGTAAGGACACTACTTCTAAATTCAACCTCAGTAACAAACAGACTTGATGACAGCCAACTGACTATATTTCTTTGAAAAAAAAAAAAGAGGATTGTGTCTGTAACACCACTTGAGCTATGGGGTGCTGGGGAATATATCTGAGTTTATGGCTTTTCAAATGATATCACCTTGAGTAACTCACTTTGTTACTATATACTATATATCTATAGTGTATCTTAGTATATGTCTAGTATATCTACACTCCCTCTCTCTCTCTCTCTCTCTCTATATATATATATATACTATACATCTATATACTATAGGATAGTTACACCTATCAATTTCCTATTCCAAAAGTATGATCATGACATTAATTAGATACTGCACCAAATTCTGAGAGATGCAGCTACTCCTTTCATGATTAGAAAGTCTGAAAAGTACACTAGGTCTTTCAACCTCTAGTGAATTATATACGCCCTGGGACTAAACCTTACCTAAGGTCTGAATGTGTGTGTTAGTCGCTTCAGTCATATCCAACTCTTTGTGACCCTATGGACTGGGGCCCATCAGGTTCCTCTGTCCATGGCATTTCCCAGGCAAGAATGCCCTCCTGCAGGGGATCTTCCCAACCCAGGGATCGAACCTGCGTCTGTTATGTCTCCTGCATTGGTAGGTGAGTTCTTTAGCACCAGTGCAACCTGGGCAGCCCAAGGTCTGAATAAGCAAATTCATATTCCAAAATTGCTTTCTTTGAAAGAGCTGACTCACATGGAACAACTTGATCCAATGAGTGAAATGTGTTTCAACTTCTTCACTAATAGGAGTCAGGTCTAAAATAAGTTAATGTTATTTGCAACAGGATTTGTTACGAGTGGGAAAATAAAAGTGGTCATACCCAATAACAGATGACGCTGGTCATACTGAAAGAATGTGTTACTTAAGACAGTCAGGTATCCTCAAATTTTTGTTTTAACAACTTTACTGAGAGAGAATTTATACAGCACAAAATTTATCTACTGCAAGCGTACAACCTAATGATTCTTAGCAAGTTTGAAGAGCTGTGCAACTATCACCACAATCTAGTTTGAGATTACTTTGATCACCCTAAAAAATTTCTTCATGTTGTTTGCAGTCAATCTACATTTCCATCCCCACCCCCACGCAACCACTGATTTGCTTTTTATCTCTATAAACTTGCCCTCCTTCTGGATATTTCATATAAATGAAGTCATAAAACATGCTATCTTTTGCAGCTGCCTTCTTGCACTAAGCATAATGTTTCTGAGGTCCATCCATGTTGTAGAAAGGTGTTGTAGAAGGTGTCAACAGTCTGTTCCTTTTGGTTTCTGAACAGCATTCCACTATTTGGATGGAACTACTTGGGCTTCCCTGCAGCTCAGATGATAAAGAATCTGCCTGCAATGCAGGAGGCCCAGGTTTGATCCCTGGGTCAGGAAGATCCCCTGGAGTAAAGGAATGGCAACCCACTCCAGTATTCTTGCCTGGAGAATCCCATGGACAGAAAAGCCTGGTGGGCTATAGTCCATGGGGTTGCAAAGAGTTGGACATGACTGAGCGACTAACGCTACTACTACTATTTGGATATAACATATTTTGTGAATCTGTTCACCAGTTAATGGACATATGGACTTCCCAGGTTGTGGCTACAATTAATTGTATTGCTTTTAACATTTACATATAGAACTTCCTGCAGACACGTATTTTCATTTCTTCTAAGGACTTTCCTACGAGTGGGAACAGTCAGTTGTGTGTTAAGTTTATGTTTAGCTTTCTAAGAAACTACCAAACTTTTCTAAAGTATCTGCACCATTTTACATCCCTGTCAGCAATGTATGAGAGTTTCAGTCTGTCTATATCCTCATCAACACTTGATACTATCTTCTTTACTACAGCCCTTCTAGTGGGTATTAATGATATCTTACTTTGGTTTTAATTTATATTCCCTAATGACTAATAATGCTGAGCATCTTTTCATATCCTTATTAGCCATTTATATAGCCTCCCTGTGAATCTTTGCCTGTTTTTATACTGAGCTGTCTGCTTACTGAGTTAAAGGGTTTCTTTATACATTCTGAAAACATACCAATTACTTGATGTGAATGTATTTTCTCCCGGTCTGTGGCCTGTCTTTTCAATTTTTTACTGGTATCTTTTGAAGTGTAAATGTTTTTAATTTTAATGAAGCCCACTTTATCTTTTTTTATTCTTTTATGGATCATATTTTGGTGTCACATCTAATAATTCTTTTCTTAACCCAAGGTCATGAAGATTTTCTCCTATTTTTTCCCTATGATTTTATAGTTTCAGCTCCACATATAGGTCTATGAGCTACTTTAAGTTAATTTTGCATATGATATGAATTAGGAGTCTTAGTTCATTTTGGTTTTAGCATGTGAATATTTTATTTTCCCAACACCATTTGTTGAAAAGACTATTTTTCACCAAATTATCTTGGCATTTTTATTGAAAAATCATGGGATGCAAAGGGACAAGAGAGGATGTACACAGCCACGGGTGTACACGTGTCCCCCATCCTGAACCCCCCCCACCTCCCTCCCCATCCCATCCCTCAGGTCATCCCAGTGCACCAGCCCTGAGCACCCTGACTCATGCATCCAACCTAGACTGGCGATCTATTTCACATATGGTAATACACATGTTTCAGTGCTATTCTCTCAAATCATCCCACCCTCGCCTTCTCCCACAGAGTCCAAAAGTCTGTTCGTTATCTCTGTGTCTCTTTTGCTGTCTCGCATATACGGTCATCATTACCATCTTTATAAATTCCATACATATGCGTTAATATACTGTATTGGTGTTTTTCTTTCTGACTTACTTCACTCTGTATAACAGGCTCCAGTTCATCCACCTCATTCAAACTGATTCAAATGCATTCTTTTTAATAGCTGAGTAATATTCCATTGTGTATATGTACCACAACTTTCTTATCCATTTGTCTGCCAATGGACATCTAGGTTGTTTCCATGTCCTAGCTATTGTTAACAGTGCTGTGATGAATACTGCGGTACACATGTCTCTTTCAATTCTGCTTTCCTCGGTGTGTATGCCCAGCAGTGGGATTGCTGGGTCATATGGCAGCCCCTCCCTTGCCTTTTTAAAATACTCATTTCTGAAGTCAGCTAAACATTTCCCCATTTTGCTAAACTTTTCAAAGAACCAACTTGAGATTTAATTTGTCTCTTATTTTTTCTAGCCAATGAAGATTTTCTCTTCACTGATTTCTGCTTTCTTTCTTCTTCTTGTTTTGGATTTATTTCCTTTTTAGTTTCTCTTTCTAGTTTCCTCAGTTACAAGGTGAGATTTTCATTTGAGACTATTCTTTTCCTATATAGATTTCTAAAGCCATACATTTTTCTCAAGAACTAATGTACCTGCATCCTGTAAATTTTGATATATTGTGGGTTTGTTTTCATGCCATTAAAAACATTTCATGGCTTTTCTTGGATTTCTTCTTTGACTCAGGCTATTTAGAAGTGTGTTGTTTAATTTCCAAACATCTGTTATGGACTCACCAGATCTCTTTCTGCTGATGATTTCTAACAGAAAATTGTTATGGTCAGTGTATGCTATGTGATTTCAATCCTTTCAGATACTGTAACTTGTTTTATGGCATAGCAAATGATCTATCACAGAGAATATTCATGTGCATGTGATAAGAATGTATTCTACAATCATTGTTCTATACATGTCAGAGTTGTTTGATAGTGTTGTTCAAGTCTTCTCTATATCCTTGCTGATTTTCTATCAATTATCATGAATAGAGTATCGAAGCCTCCATTTATTACTGGAATATCTATTTTTCCTTCAATTCAATTGGACTCTGCTTCATATGTTTTGAAGCTGTACTAGAGCATATACATTTATAATTGTTATATCTTTGTATTGATCCTCTCATCATTATAAAACATCTTAGTATAAGTCTCATCTTCACATCTATTTAATCTGATATTTAACAAAACCACTTCATCTCTCTTGTGGTCACTGTTTGCATCGTTTATCTTTTCCCACCCTTTTTCTTTCAACCTATTTCTGTTTATTAACTTAAGTATGCCTCTCATACACTGATAATTGGATCTTTTTTACCCAGTGAACAATCTTTGTCTTTTGCTTCACATGCTTAGAGTCACACTGAATGTCATTACTAACACGGTGATTCACACTTGCCATTTTGCTATGCTTTCTACAGTTACTGCCTTTTTTTATTCCTCTTTACCGCCTTGTTTTGTGCCCAATACTTTTCACTGTACTGTTTCAGTTCCTCTATTAACTTACTATTTTTTGAGTGGTTGCTATCAAGATTATAATGTGCTTCTTAATTTATCACAGTCTACTTCAGATTAATACTAACTTACTTCTTCCAGTGAAATGAAGAAATTTTGCTCTACTATGGTTCTATTCCTTCTGCCTTCCTTTGTCTTAAATATTGTACTGTTGTAGATGTTTAGTTGCTAAGTTGAGTGTGACTCTTTGGTGACCCCATGGAGTGTAGTGCACCAGACTCCCCGTCCATGGGATTTTCCAGGCAAGAATATTGAAGTGGGTTGCCATTTCCTTCCCCAGGGGATCTTCCCAACCCCAGTACTGAACCCTAGTCTCCTGCATTGGTAGGCAGATTCTTCACCACTGAGCCACCAGAGAGGCCCTAAGTACTGTGTATTATATCTATATGTCATTAAATACTACATCTACAGTCATTAAATACTATATATTACATATGCTATAAACCTACTAGCATAGTGTTGTAAATATTGCTCTGTTCAACCCTATGTTTTTTAAAAGAAGTTGAGCTGAGAAATGAGAAAAAAAACATATTTAGTCTTCTCTATTAACTCATATTTATCTTTCTAACACTCTTCATTTCTATGAATTCACGTAACTATAAAACAACTTTCAGCCTAAGGACTTCCTGT